CAGAACCCTGGGCTAAAGAAAATTATAATAATAAAAATAAATTGCAAGATTCATTAGTCCAGAGGGAGGCAGCAAGGAGCCTGACTCTGCAGGGCAGAGACTGGGTTAGGCATTGGCAAGATTTGCTGAGATCTGAAGATGGGTGTCTATGCCAAGGACTGTTTGTGTGTTTACAAGAAAGGATTATTTGGCACAGCGCTGAAATTGTCACCAAGGCTTGGACCCAGGTCTTGCCTCTTCCAGTACATCTAACGCAAAATTGGGTCTTGAGGGAAAAAAATGCAGGGAGAGTGAGAATGTCCCTTCTCCTGTTGCTCTGACATTGGCGTTTTATTATTTTCTTTCATGCATTAATTCCTATATAATTTATTTTCTCACTTGATTAATATTTTTATAGCATTTATTTTCTGTCTTTGCTTCTTTTGCTTAACCCCTTATTGCTGCTTTTTGCATCCACTCTTTTTAACCAGTGAGTATTTGTAATTAAAGTGCCATCGCCACCCCCCCCCCCCCCTTTTTTTTTACTCTAACTTTTCCTTCCCCACCAAGTTGTGCTGCAACCCGTGGGCCTATTCCTTAAAATCCTGCCTGCACTTCTCCAAATAATAAATACCTCCCACCAATCTGCACAGATGCCACATAAAAACACATTTGGTTTATTAATCCTTCAAAGTGGGATTTGAATGGTGCAGGGACCACTCAGTGGGCCTGATGCGTACCTTACAACATCCCCTTAATGTTTCCATTTTAATAATAAGCAGATTTTTTGATTCTTTACAATATTAAGACTTTCAGAAAGCAAAGTACTTTGGGGTTGTGTAAAAATGAACCTGATGAACAGAAGTTTTTGCACCATTCTGCAGTGCGGAGCCACGGCTGAGTGCTGGAATAACTTGACTCCACCGCAGGAATGAGCTGGTTGCTGTTGGCTGCTAGTCCACGTTTTGATGCCTTAAAACTGTGTTTTGAAACTCAGTTCCTTTGTCTTCAGCTGGAAGATGTCCATTTTCATTCCCGCCTGAATTCCTTTTCTGCCTCAGCCCCCCCTACCCTCTTCCTGTTTGCAATTGTGAGAAAAGTGGCTTGTTTTTATCTGCTTTGAATTTACCCCAGTTGCAGGTGGTCGGCAGCGAGTGAAAGCTGGAGAGGGAGCCGAGAGCCTCCTCCCTCGTACGGGACAGCTGTACGTGGGTCGGGCTGAGGAGCTGGCCGTGCTGGCTGCCAGCACATTGCAGAAATAACCACGGAGCTTGAAACACTGCTGAGCCACAGCGTTTGCCGAACCTTGGCTTTGTATAAAAAGAACAGAAAGAAGTAGAATATTTTTCACGCTGCTTTCATCTCCCAAAAGATGGAGTCTCAGGGATCGGGTAGGCTGTGTAGGCATTGGTTTAGAAATAAAGCCCTTTCTTGTACATCTTGCGGTGTTTTTGCCTGTCAACAGTATTCAGCTTCATTCCTTGGGCAATGCCGTGGATATGTGTGTGCCACAGATCTAGAGATACACCTACAGCTCATGTGGCACAGACTGTCAAATGCAGCCGTGGACAGCAGTGCAGCTGTAGTAGCCTGATAGTTACGGTGTGCTGCAGAGTTCCCTTACGAGCCTAAGTTGATGTTTGGGTGACTGGGCTGAACTAACTGCTGAAGAAAGCTTTGTCCAACAGTTTGGGCACATCAGTAGGAGCTCTGAATTAACATTGCAAACAAATTCTAATACAGAGCTTCAAATAATGTCTGGAGCTCCATGTGGCAAAAGGGAATTTAAACACATTTCAGCATTTTATAGAGAAAATGAGGGACTATAGCTTATACACTATATATAAATATATATACTTACAGTCTAAGATTTATGTGTTTTAAGATTCAGGAATCTGCACCTGAGTGTAGGGTTCATCTACAAATGTAACTGCATTTATTTGACAACTGTAGCCCTTTGCCAAGCTCAGTTACTTGGAAGGATTTAAACTCAGATTTGAACTGATTTATCTCGGCATTCTGGGGATTAAGGGAAACCCAGCTTCATGGCTGCAATCCCAGAAATCAGTAATACTTCAGATCTGTAATCCAAGAATTACTGGCGTATTTCATTGTAATGTCCAAGCATGAATGAATGTTTAATACTTGGGTTATCCTCTAAAATACTTAGAATTTCCATAGGAAATTAACAGCAGTGCAAATAGGTGCTTTTTATTTTTTAATATATCTTTTTAATGATCTGATGTTCAAAACTTCAAGCACCCAACTCGCACGAAAACCAGCAAGTGGTAGGTGCCTGGATACCTTGCTGGAGCTGGATTTGGCCAAGCACTGTGGCAGCCTGCCCAGAGGTGGTGGAGTCTCCATCCTCAGAGACGCTCAGAGCTCAGCTGGGCTCTGAACCTTGGAGGTTGGGCTGGCAACATCTCGAGGCCCTCCCAGCATCACCGTGTCTGTGATCCCTGTGGTGGTTGTAATGTTATACAGTGGCCATTTATCCTCTGCATGTACTGTGCACGCAGATGTCATACTGCATATATGCAATGCCAACCAGAACACTGAGGAAGATCTGAAATTATTTCTGTTTTTCTGCTGTAGGTGAAAGCTGTGCACTGCAAAGCTGGTGATACTGTTGGAGAAGGAGATCTGCTGGTGGAACTGGAGTGAAGGTTGCCTTCCCGCTGCTGAGTTACCTAAACCTTGATTGTTTCCATCTGTAAAGTAAAATGAAGGCAATTCAACACAGAAGATGGACAGTCCTACACAGAAGATTTTATACAGTCATATTTATTGTATCAGTGGTTAAGACAGCAAACACAGATACTAAACCTTGGCAACAGATCCCAGATTTTTACTTCCAGAAATACTTGTACATAACCTTTGTAATTCTTTGATTTTTTCAGGATCATATAGAATCAATAAAATGCTATTTCTGCGTTAAAACAGAAAAAGCCTTTTTTTAAGAAAACACAACAAAAGCCCAAAGCTAATTAATCTTCTCCATGGTTATATCACTGGTTTGAGGCCCGAGACAAATGTACAGAATGGTTGGTGAGTGACAAATTAACCACTGAATGAACTGAGCAGTTTCCCTTAAACTCTGTGTAAGCACTGAACAATTACTGCCAATGGCTTAAATTCTGGTCAGATTTATTGTACTAATTTGAAGCCTTTGTACAGCCTAGCTTTAAATTTCGGGTTAGATGCTTTGTTTTGCTAGTGCAGATTTTTCCCCATCTATTTTCATTTGCAGTTGTAAGGGAATTTTCTTCTTTTATTCAGACTCTGTACTCAACTGCCCTCCCCTTTATCTTCTTTCTATTGATTACTGGATGCGAGACCTTCCAGAAGGAGCTGGCACAGTCCTCAAATCCCCTTAGCTGCCCCAAGGTGTTGCTGGAGGCACTTGCTGGCCCTCAGGCCAAGCACGCTGCCCCCTGAACTCCTCTGGGAAAGAGAGACCCAGGTGCCTGACCTTTTGTTGTGCAGTCTCCTTCTAAAGGCTCTGTGAGGAACAAGGGCTGTTCATAACACGATTATATCCTACAGGAGAGCTGTGTATCCGGTATGGGAAACCAGGTAAGGCCCGGAGAGGAGGAATATTTAAGAGATATAAACAGAAGTGAGAGGGTCTGGTGATTATATGTGTATTTTTGGCATTAATAAGCTTTGAAAAACTACTGTTAAAAGCTGTTTTAAAAGCATCCATCATAAAAGAGATGCAGGTCCTTTCTTAGGCTGTAAAACACCTCCTACTACTTATTTTTAGGTTTTCTGTTATGAATCCTTCAAAGGCGCAAGAACCATCACTTCTGTCACACCCCTGTGCCTTGTACTGCAGTGACTTTGGTCACATTAAACAAGCATTGATTTTTCTTTCTGAGCTTGGGAACTCGGTGCCACAGGCAGGCGCAGATACCACAAGTTTGCTGGGTTCACAGGGTTAGCGTGTGGTTATCCGAGGGCTCTTTCTTCCACCAACCCATCCAGCCCCAGGTCGGCAGCTGCAGCCCCCCAGGCATGGTGGTGTCCCCGCAGTCCCCCAGAGCTCTTGCCTGGGCCTCTGCTGCTGCCGGGGCTGGAGCCAGGCCACGGAGCTGTGCCTGTGGCAGCCTCATCGGCCCTGCTTTGCCTCAGCGAGGAAGGGGCTTGCCGGTAGTTTCTTGCTTAGGATGCGCTGGGTTCTGCTAATTCCCAGAAAACAAACAAGCAAACAACCCTCTGGCCAGAGACAGGCCCTTTACAGGAAGATGAAAGAAAGAAAACAAAACCAAAAGCCAGTCTGTGACTCATTTTTTTATCCAGAAATGTTCATTCTGCTTGGAACATGACTGACAGTGCATTGGTCGTGTCACTGAGAAGCTGCTGACTATAGTATGGCCAATGGGGAGGAATAATTTTGCACAGGGCTCTGCTTTGTTGCTCAGTTTACTTCTCTTTCCAACGACTAAGGCGAGTGTTTGGGCAGTACCCGACCTCCAAGCACAGCATTGCTTTTGCAGTTGGAGAAACTGAGGCAGGGCCCCTGCAGCCTTTCCTAGGAACATCCATAATGCCATCTTGGGGCATTATTCTGACAGCAGCTTGCCCTAAACTAAGGAAGGAAAAAAAAAATATTCTACTTGAAAGGTATTTACTTTGCTTACTGCAGAAACAAGCTCTTGGTCTGTTTTTCTGCTTGCACTGCAGCAGTGCCTGTTCCTAATGAAGTTTTTAGGCTGATTGCTTACCCTGGATCCCTGCGCTGACCTCCTCTGGCCATCCCAGAGCTCCTGGCAATGACGCAAAGTACAAGCTTGTTTGTAACAGGCTCCTCAGTACATTTCATTGTACCTTGGCTCACTGCACAGCACACAGCCTTGTCCCTTCGGCAGCTTTGTATTTTGTACAATATCTATGCCCCAAACACCACGGTTGAAGGAAATACAAGGCACAGGAGAGCAACAACACAAAGTTTCCCCAGACTGTACAGAAACCAGCACCAGTGGTTGGGTCATGGGGACAACAGTTTTCTTTTTGTCTTTTTTTTTTTTGGCACTTTAAATGTTGCAATAATCACATACAGGTCCTTTGGGGATTTTTTTAATATTATAACGTGAGTAATAATCGCCCCCCAGTAAGAAATTCAGACTGCATCTGACTGCAAGTTCTGCATTAAAGTGCTTGGCTAAAAGTCACCTGGACAGTAAGTGCCCACCCCAGCTGCAGGTGTACTGTGGTGGGCAGCTGAAATCAGGTTTGCTTTCCCTGGCCCGTAACTCCCAGATTCCCCCAGTCCCTTATTAAAGTGAAATAGTACCTAAAGTGCTTAGTAGGATGTTAAATTAAAAATACGACTTGAAATGTAATTCTCTTTAATATTTAATATTTCTTTAATATCTCTTCTCATAAAACTAAACACGTTTTAAAAATAATCATCTCCAGTTCAGAAAACATTGCATCACAGAGTAGGAATAGTCATTGTTAAATTCTCTCCCCTCTATTTCTACAGCAATTTCAGGTTTTCCTTGAAGTGCAGGCTATCGGTATGGTCATTTCTCTCCCAAGACACATTTGTTTGCCCAGGTTGTTTACATTCAGTAGCCTACCACACACAAAGCGATATTAAATGCGAGGTGTGTTTTACTTTGTTTGCAGATAAAATTTTTAAAAATCAGTTGTAGCTATTAGTACAACAGCATCATTATTTCGCCGCCTGCCTTGGAGAACACACGTGATAAATTTATCAATTCTGGTAAGAAGGAGTTAGTGTGTTCATCTGCCTTTCACTCACCTCAGCCCCGTACTTGAGGCGAGGCTGGGGGTGGTGGAGGATAAAACCCAAACCCCCAGAGGGGTGCGCGCAGACAGATACGCTTGGTTCAGGCGTCATGCGAAACCAGTTAGGCTGTGTTAGTGGGGGCAGCAGGCTGTGCCTAGCCGGGGCTGCGTGCCAGCCTCCAGGCCTACGACACGCTAGAGCCAACGCGCCCAGGTTTGGGAGGTTACAAGAGATCTCGGGTTTTAATACAAGGGCATTACGGGTTTCCTGGAAGGTGCTACCGTGCTACTGCGCCTTCGGCGGGGCTGCGCTGGCTTAATCCCTGCTCTCGCGCAGCACGTAGGAGAGGCCGTGAGTCCCGGAGGAATCGTAATTGTCATGGTAGGGCAGCTGGACCCACTCGGGCTGGTAGGTGGTCGTGCTGTACACAAAGCACTCCATCACGCTGCTCCCGGCCGCGCTGCTTTTCCCTTCCCACTCCACCACCTCGATTCTCATCGTCGTGCGCTGGTACATGTCTGGGCAGCCTTCGAATTCGTCGAGGAACTGCAGCATCTGGTCGTCCACGGTGTAAATCTCCCCGGCCACGTGGTGCCCCGTGCCCGGGATGTTCAGCATGAAAGGGATGTTGTATTTCCCTGCGATCACCAGAGGGTACTTCTCCACGGTGCGGCCCCTTCCTTGGTATTTCGCTATCCCCTTGGCGGTGTTTATCATGTGCTTGTAGTTGGGCTGGCCCTTCTTAAGCGTGCCGTACACGAAGACACGAGCCATCGTACCTGCAAAAGCAGCAGAAAGACAAAAAGGTGGACGTTACACACGTGGCCAGCTGAAAGTGCAGCACGGACCAAAGGAATGCATGCACGCCGAGATGGGGTGTACGTGCGAGGCTGTTTGGGCACATGCAAAATTGATCTCATTTTAAAAAATCGTGCTAAATTCAAATTGGTCCTTAAACTTTTCAGTCAAACACCGTAGCGAGACAGAGAGCAGGGGGGAGTCCCTCTTGCAGTTCTTTGCTGTAATCAAATGGCATCCCATTGTTTCTCCAAGGATGCCACGACAGCAGCCAACACAGCGCTGAGACAGAGTAAAAGCTTCAAGCCTTTATTTTTTTCCCCCCTCTCTTGTGATTATACTGGAGCCATGCTGCATGCAGTGAGGACGGTGCCACGCTCAGTAACATACCTAAAGGTACCCAGGGAGCCATCCCAGCGATGGGAACAAGCTCCAATTAGCACACCCTAAAACAAAGCAAAACAAAACAGGTTCAAGCACCTTACTATATTGCTCTACCGCATTTAAGGTAAAGTAGCTGTGGTCAATCCCACCTGTTAAAACTTGCAGGGGTGAAGCCACGGGGTGATTTCCCCCCTGCTTGTCAGGGAGGAAAAGCAGCTGCTGGCTGTGGAGGGGAATGCAAAGCCTTGAACCCCAGGCCTGAGAAACCCGTGCTGCCCAACCAGGTGGCCTGGCAGGGGAGCAGGTTGGGCTTAACCTGCTGGTGAGGCCTTTTGGGGACACACTGAGGGCTCCCACAGCCCTGGGCCTGCGGTCCCGCCGCTGGCTGAGGTGAATGAGGCCGCCAGACACCAGCATCGCCCAGCGGGAGCTGGGGAGGCCGCCGGGGTCACCCCCAGAGCCAGGCTGGGCTGCCAAGCTGCTGTCACAAGCACAAGGACACGCTTGTCTCACCCATCCAGGGGAAGGGGGGAACAAACACCAGTTTCTCCTCGGTGCTTTGAATGACTCCTAGCTGACAAACCTCACAGGCTGACTTGACGAGGCCAGGCCAGGGGATGGTGTCGGCACAAGTGCCCTCACCCATCTTGTGGGTGAGGGGGGATCCCGTATTTCAGTGCTACCAAAACTAAATGATGGCTGCTGGCAGAAAGGCCAGGTCAGACACATCCCCAAGTCCTTTTCAGGTACCCCAAAGGGCCACAAGCCACCTCTGCCTGTGGCCGCTACGTGTGCCAGCCATCTCAAAAACAGCCCCTGAACAATTTTGTTCAACATTGATCTAGCAGCATAAAACACTCAAAACTGGTTTGAATTGGGTAGAAGACTGGCCTTCCTGAAAGACAGGAAAAAAATAATCATACTTTCATAGGTCCTCATCTATTTTTCACACTCTGCCCTCTTCATTCTCCCTTCTTTCTGCAGGGCAAATGAAGTTTTTCCCGAATTTGCCCTCAGTCAGTACCTGCTCAGAGCCTGCCTCAGCATCACCCACCAGGGCAGCCAGCCACTGCCCACCAGAGGAGCACATGCAGCTCCATTTGTTATTAAACAACATTCGAAGTTCGAAAAAAAATAATAAAAAAACAACCGGAAGAAGAAAATTAATGTGTTTTCAGCTATTTAGTCTTACTTTAATAAATTGCTAGATAGTTAGGCTATCAAAAATGGTATGGTACTGGCCTGGAGGAGTGTCATTTAAAATAAGCAAGCCTCTTAACCAGTAGCAAAGCAATTCCTCCCTTGGTGAATAAACAGTTTTTCTCTAACAGAATACAGTTTCTCAGTAAAAAAAAAAAAAAAAAAAAAAGGTGTGTGCCTTTATTTACTGGCAAACAGCTTTCAATTCAGGAAAAAGACTACACCACTTCTCCTCCCCTGTATTTTATCAGATATACTTCAGGGTAATTTATCCTTGATGACATAAATGAGTTTTTTTGGATGCAGCTCATTCCCTCACAATAAAAAGGACATTAATATTCAGTTGGTCTGACTCCCTTCTATAAGAAAAATCATTACCTTTCAGATTGTGTTTTGAATAACAAACACAGATCTTTCAGGAAGAAACTTGTCCCAGTGGGGATTGAGAAAGGATCAGAGTTAAGCACTGAAACATGCAATTAATTCCCATTAGGGGATTAGGGCACTCGTGTTCACTTTGAATCAGAAAAATGAGTTGTGAATTAAATTGTTCACAACCAAGAGGTTACTTGTCAGAGTTAATAACTTAAAAAATAAAAAGCTGAATGTAAAACACACATAAAAAGCTCAATGGCGAGCAGTGCATCTGTAGGGAAAAGATATGCTTCATTTCCATTAAACTAAAGATCTCTCCCTACTGTATATCTGAAGATAAGCTTCCGAAAAGTTTTCGGGGAAAAGTGAGACAACTCCTGAAACTGGCGAAAATGAAGCGCACGTTTCTGACTGCGCAGCGTCCGGCTGCTTGGAAACGTTCCCTTCAGAGGGATTTACGGGAATGCACCTGGCATGAAAAAAAGTGCTGGTCCCACAAAACTCAACAGCAGCAACAACAAAACTCACTTAGCCCAGGTTTGGGTAAGTGTTCCTGTGCCAACATTTAAGTGCATGAATTCACCAGGCAGGCTAAACGGAGACTGAGTAGGAACTGGAAGTCTCAGTCCCGGTCCGTGCAGAGTTGGTGCCTTCCGAGCCTCAAATTCGCAGCACTTCCACCGTTGTGGCTTCAGGAGAAGGCTGGAGGCTGAACTTCCCTCGCCCCTTCACGGTCACGGATCTTCCTGTCATCTGCTTGGGATAAGCTGATCACACTGACTTTTCGTTTAGTTTAAAAAACAAAACTGAGCCCGAGCTGGGAAGTGAGTGAAATGAAGAGTTGGTAGAAACATTTTCTGAACGCAGCTCCTGATAAATAAAATTTATATAATTTTCTGTGTAATAAATTCAATCTCCCGCACGCTGCGTACTGAGTTCTGGGCAGGCTGCTCCAGGCACCAGCATAATTCCCAGCACTCATATCTGTGCTTTCAAACCATTTTTGGCCACCTTGTGGCAAGGAGAGTAAAGAGCAGAATTTTATTTGAGGGTCATTTCACAGACTTCCACTGAGCAGCTGAAAAGAGCTCCAGACGGCATCGCTTCAACGGATAACCTACAGTGCCAATGAAAAGTTGCCTTTTCTCACTTAATCCGGTTTGACACTTCAGCCCTCTACTGAGCTACCTTAGAGGGGGAAAAAAAAAAAAGGAAATAAAAATCAGACTTTACGCTGAGTATTAGCTGCCAGGGCTAAACAAACCCATTCAGAAAGTACTTTCATGCAATATTCATGCTGGGATCATTAAAATTTAATGACGTGGGGGAACACGAATGAGATCCGTGTCGTCTCCTCCAGCTAGGAAAGGCAACCGGCTGACCCGCTCGTGGGCTCTGTTGCTGCTCCCTTCGCTGGGTGAGAGGCAAAGATCAGAAAATGAAGTTTTCTGGATGCTTTAGGATGGAGAAGGCAGAAGGTGCTGCTGGGTTCAGATAAAAGCAGGGGTGGCACAACCTCTGTGACTCAGATGATGATCGGGTCCTACCAGCTTCTTCCAAAAACGAAGTGAGCAGCGCTCCGTGCGTCAGGCTGGCTCCTGGGCCCTTTGTGATTGCGGCAGCGGTGGGTTCGGGTTTTGTTTTGCTGAGGCTTTTCCTTGCAGCTCAGAAAGTATCCATTTCTCTCCCTCCATACAGTAACATTATTTTCCCTTGAGAAAAATGCTTAGCGCTGGCTCAGTGACCAGATATAGTTACACATTAATTCTTCAGAAGTTTCTTAAAACTGTAGGAAACAGGTGAAAAAACAAAATGCCTTGAACTTTAAACTTGAGCCCAGTCTGTTTGAATGAAGCGAGTTTTAAGGTCACTCTTCACTCAATGCTAACTTTCAAGCAGGACTAACATGCCAGAGAGGACTCATGGGACTGCATCCTGTTGGTCCTTTGATGCTTTCATTTTGTTACTTGCTATTTTCTTTATAGCACAGACAAGGGCTTCCTGCCCGGGCCGACCCCTTTCCAACCTTGCTGAATGCCTCGGAAAAGTTTATGGCAAGACACCTTTCTTACATTAACCACAGAGGCAGCAGCGAAACGATGGCTCCTTTGAAATCCAGAGGTTACGGTCTCCTCGCAGCAGTCGCTCGCTCAGAAACTCTGAGGTGCTGCTTTGTGAAAACAAACAACGGTATTATGGTAACCAATGCCACGTTGGACACTACCGGGCACTACCTGGGACGGCACTTCACCGAGATTTTTCCTTTCACCCTCGGACAGCTTATATCCCCAAACCAACAAATACGCACGCACTTAAGCTTGGGTATCCTGATGTTTGGCACCGGGAGCCAGAGCACAGAAGCCCTCCCTCCTGACAGGCAGCAATCACACCGCTGCTCTAATTCCTCGCACCGACTCGGCACCAGGGCAAACATTTGCTTTTTATCTGTTTGAAACTGTTTCCAGTCACTTTCAGCCCTATTTCATAGAGAAACCTCATTATATGTATTCATTGTTACTGGAAGAGCTCATTCCCAAAGTAAAAGTTAGGAGCTGCTAAAGAGGGCTCCAAATGGCAATCGGCTAAAGCCACCACACACAAAAGGATGCCGGGACACACTGCAAAAACACGCCGGATGCATTTTTAGGCCATTTAATCTGCTAAATGTTAAAGTGCAGAGACAGGAGGGGACTGGAAGCACGTAAGGAAGATGAGAAAAGGAGCATGAAGACAACGGAAAGTCAACGGAGGTGGACAAACTGTGTTGGTAAAAAAAAAAATAGTTGCACACCCATGATATTAGATCAGTATTATTGACTGTTTTGTCATAGCATTATTATTAAGTAATAATATTATAATTATATAAGCCTCTAACAGCTTATTATATCAAGTTTTTGACACCACAACTCATACACTTGTAGAAGTAGTTAAACTGAGCTCAGGGCAGGAGCACGGAGAAAAGGAGTCCACAGCTGTTATTTTGGGGCACAGACCAAACAACTGGAAGTTGCTAAGGTTGAACAGGAGCTCTCAGGGCTCCTGCATATCGCCTACAAATAGAGGTAAAGGTTTTACAGAAGGGACCATTGGTCTTCCACGTACACGAACAAACAGCTCTCTATAAAAACATGGGACATAAGAATGACCACAAGTCACAACAAAAATGAGCCACGTATCCCATATGCGATAGTGGTCAACAGATTCCTCATCAAGAGCTAAGCACAGGACACAAAGACAGTGCTTGGGTTACAGACTTGTGGCCCAGAAGCTTTCCAACCCAGAGGCAGTGACTGTCACGGTCCATACAAGACTTCTCCTGCAAACTTGCACAGCCACTTTTGCGAAAGTCCTGAAGTCCCAGCATTTCCATCGTATTTTTCTCCCCCTGTTCTGTTGAGGAGGGAGAGCGAGAGAGAGTGGCATGGTCGTGCTTACCTACCCATTGGTGTCAAACCACCCCCCTGACACGGAGGCTTAAGCTGTTACA